CTAGTAGTAGTAGTAGTAGTAGTAGTAGTAGTATGGCCTAGAAGAGAGGGAAATCAACTATACCAGGATTATAATAATAATATTATTATTATTATCATTATTATGTCCTGGAAGAGAGGGAGACAAACTATACTAGTAGTAGTAGTAGTCGTCGTAATAGTATAGTAGTATGGCCTGGAAGAGAGGGAGATCAACTATACCGGGATTATTTATTATTATTATTATTATTATTATTATTATGGCCTGGAAGAGTGGGAGACCAACTATACTATTAGTAGTAGTAGTAGTAGTGTAGTAGTAGTAGTATGGCCTGGAAGAGAGGGAGATCAACTATACTGGGATCATTGTTGTTGTTGTTATTTATACCCCACATTTCTCTCCACAAGGAGAACCTGGCCTGGAAAAGAGGAGATCAATTATACTGGGATTATTATTGTTGATTATTATTATTATTATTATTTTACTGACACAAAAACACAGTATGTCACAGCAAATGAGATCTATATGCTGGATTTCATATCACAAAATCACAAGTGATTATTATTATTATTATATTATTATTATTATCATTATGGCCTGGAAGAGAAGGAGACCAACTATACTGGGATTATTATGACAATGATGATGTTGGTGATGGTGACTATTATTATGGCCTGGAAGAGAGTGAGACCAACTATACAGTGTTTTTGTTGTTGTTTATACCCCACATTTCTCTCCACAAGGAGAACCTGGCCTGGAAGAGAGGGAGATCATCTCTGCTGGGGTGTCTCCTTCATCCCAGTGGACTTATGGGGTGCAGAGCTGTCGCTTGTGGGGATCTTGGACAGCAGTCTGGATCTTTCTGGGCTTTTTGGGCGTCCCTCCAGCGGTCATTTCCTGGTCTGGGGCTTTAAAGAGACTCCAGAGGGAGGCGCAGGAAATCGTGGTGGGATCTTACAGAAGATGAAAGGAAAGGAAGGAGAGAGAAAGAGGGAGGGAGAAAGAGAGATGGGGAAGAGGGAGGGGGGGGGCTGCTGCTGGAATACAGGAGGAGATCAGGAGATTGATGAAAGAGAAAAGGGAGAGATAAGAGAAGAGGCAGCAGGACCAAACCAGCAGGCTGAGAGAAGCGTTGCTAGGGAAACGGAAAGAATGAGAGAGCGAGGGAGAGAAGGAGAGAAGAGGCAAGGCTCAGAAATAGAGGGAAGGAAAGGGATGGAGGGAGGAGGGAAGGAGGGAGAGGTCTTAAAGGGACAGGGGCCCCAATGGTTGGGGAAGAAGGGTGGAGGGACCGTGGTTGTCCTTCTGGGTGGGCTTCCATTGGGGCTCCTTGAGGGCAGCATCATCGTCAGGACCTTGGGTTCCAGCTCTGTCCTGGGCAGGAGGCAGAGGGCTTGGTTTCCCCTAATGATTGGTGGGATATGTTTTCACCCCATTGCCCCCCAATTATTGACCTTTACGCTGAGTGCGCTGGGGAGGAACAGGAAAGGGAAGGCCAGGCACTCTCCCCTCCTCAGGAAATGGGGCCTGTTTTGCACAAAGGGTTTCTTTCCTTGGCCTTTTCCTGGATGGCCAGAGTTTGCACGACGCCTGCGTGCCTGCATCCTCACCTCTTGCTTCCGTGCCCACCTCACCCTCTTTCCTCCCCCCCCCCCCCCTTTGTCTCCTTAGTATCTTTCTCTCCCCCTTCCCCCCCCCCCCCCCCCCCGCCTTGCACTCTTCCTGCCTTCCCCCAACACTCCCTCCATCTCCCTTTCTTCTTTCCTTCCCCTTTTCTTTCTTCTCTCCTTTCTTCTCTCTCTCTCTTGCCTGCAAGCCACCAACCCAAGGTTTCTGAGCTCTCCTGCATTTCTGGGTGGAGCTCGTTGCTTCCCATAGAAGTAGAATTGGGAAATCCAGACTTGGTTCCCCTTTTAGGCAGAGTCTTTTAGGCTTGTCTTTTTGCATTTCAATAATAATAATAATAATAATAATAATAATAATAATAATAATAATAATAATAATAATAATAGAGCCCCCAGTGGCGCAGTGGGTTAAACTGTTGAGCTGCTGAACTTGCTGACCAAAAGGTCGCAGTTTTGAATCTTGGGAGAAGCGTGAGCTCCCACTGTTAGCCCCAGCTTCTGCCAACCTAGCATTTCAAAAACATGCAAATGTGAGTAGATCAATAGGTACCACTCCAGCGGGAAGATAACGGCGTTCCATGCAGTCATGCTGGCCACATGACCTTGGAGGCGTCTACGGACAATGCCAGCTCTTTGGCTTAGAAATGGAGATGAGCACAACCTTCCCAGAGTCTGACATGACTGGACTTACTGTCAAGGGGAAACATTTACCTTTACCTAATAATAATAATAATAATAATAATAATAATAATAATAATAATAATAATTCAGAGTGACAGAGTTTTGGAGTGCACTACCCCAGACCTCACAATCTTGGGGGGAAAAGTATGGATTGTCGATGTTGCAATCCTAGGCAATAGCAGGATTGATGAGAAGCAACTGGAAAAGCTTACACAATATGAGGATTTAAAGATCAAACTGCAAAGACTCTGACACAAGCCAGTCAAGGTGGTCCCAGTGGTGATCGGCACACTGGGTGTAGTGCCTAAAGACCTTGGCCTGCACTTAAACACTATCAGCACTGACAAAATTCCATCTGTCAGCTGCAAAACATCGGCTGTTCGACTTAGAAATGGAGATGAGGATCAACCCCCAGAGTTGGACACAACTGGATTTAATGTCAGGGAAAAACCTTTACCTTTACCTACCTTTACCTTTTGCTCCCAATCTGAGGAGCCTACCTCTCTGCTGTGTCCAGTCAGAAACAAAGGTGACATGGAGAGGAAAGGGGCTTGGGCTTGCCATGGTGAGCGAGTGCCCAACAGGCCAGAGCCAGGAAGGGAGCACTAGGCAGGAAGCAAAGCCTCAGAAGGAGACCCCACAGTTACACAGGAGAGCATGGTTCTTACCCAATAGCCGGTGAAGATAGTTGCCTTCCTTCCACGCGCTGGCGTTTCTCTTCTTGTCTTTCCTGCCGGAATGTCAGTGGCCCAGCTTTGTTGGGCATCTTTGCTGTGAGCCATGCTCCTGGCTGAGCTTTCCTGGACATTGACTCATCTTCGTTGCCACCCAATTCCCAGCAAGAGAGAAGCTCTGCTCCTTCTTGGAAGTATGTAGTAGCCACACCTGAGTAGAAGGGGTCATGGCACTAGCTGTGACTCTGTTCCCAGGGTTCAGCGCCATTTTCAGGAGTCATGCACACACTTTCACCCATAAAACTACAATGTCTCCCATGTAGGGTAGAAAAAATGGATGTCTCTCCACGTGAGCTGACAAGGCATCTTGAGCTGTGTGCCCCTTGGTACCTACAAGGAGAAGAGCACTACACTTGCATAAGTTGCCTCATGCCCTTGGCAAGGGACAGGGGGACTCTGCTCTCTCTGGCAATATGCAGTTGCTGTCGGGCGAATGGGCTTATTAACGTACAGCAGAGTAACTTATCAGCAGCAGCATGACCCAACACCAGTAGCCCAAAGAGATAAAAAGAACAAAAACACACAGGCCAATATTATCTCTTCTGTAGGAGGCTTTTCTTTACAACAAAATAATATGGTTGTACTATTTACAAGAACAAGGTTTCCATTAACAGAAACAAAGTTCTTTATACTTCCTTCTTTGCTTCCACGCTGGGCTTCTTTCTCATGCAGATAAATAGCTTCATTCGCACAGAGCCTCTTCTCACACCGAATTTATACAGTATCTTTTTAACACAGCAGCCTTCACGTACTGGAGTTTCACACATGATGCCTTCTTATACCGAGGCCTACGTCACACACTGAGGTGTTTCTCCCACGGAGGCCTTCTCACACTGAGGGCTTGCTCAGAATGATGCCTCTCTCATACTGAGGCAAACTGACACTGAGGCCTACTCATACTGGGGCCTACTAACACACTGAGGCCCTTCTCTCACAGACTGAGGGCTACCTCAGACAGAGGGCTACTAAGCTACAGACACATCTGCCTATGTAGAACTACAATTTTTGCTGAGAGATTGCATCCCTTTCAGTGCTTGACTCACATTTTTGTAATTAAAAATACCTAGTTGATATTTAATATTTCAAACAGTTGCCTACAAAGGGACCAGAAGAGGCCCTTGGGAGAAGCGGCAGGGACAAAACACCCTGCTTTTGCCCTCCTTCTGCACAGGGAAAGAGCTGGGGCCCTATTCCTTGCACTTTTGGGGGGTCCCAGAGGAGAATCCCTCCCCATACTAGGCTAGTTGGGTTATTAACTGTTCCAGGAAGAAGGTCGTCTGCGCTGCTCTCCAGAGGGAGTTCAACTTCCTGAGTTGGCTTTCATGCACATTCACTCTTTTCCTTCCTTTCGCCGCTCTTCCTTCCTTCCTTCCACCTCCAGCTCCATTTGAATTTTTTATTATGTGGGGCGAATAAGGCATTAATCCTCCGCCCCCCTCGTTGCGTTTCTGTTTCCTGGGTCTCACTTTTAAAAAGTGGCATTCCTCTGGGCACTAATCCTCTTCAATAGAGGTTGTTTGGGAGATACGTTACATATTTTTGTGCAAGGATCATCAGTTTTCTACAAAGACTCCCCAGTGTAAGCTCCTCACACAGGACTGGGTGGGTTTATTTATTTATTTATTGTGTCAGAAGCGATTTGAGGGTACAGTTAAAATGCATTCAAACCCTCAATTTTTAAAAAATAATTTGGCATTTTGCTAAATGTCCTTTGACCAGAAGCTGGCCACTTGGAGTGCCTCTGGTGTCACTGTGAGAAGGTCCTCCATTGTGCATGTGGCAGGGCTCAGGTTGCATTGCAGGTCTGTGGTTTGTGCTTCTCCGCACTTGCATGTCGTGGACTCCACCTTGAAGCCCCATTTCATAGGGTTGGCTCTGCACCTTGTGGTGCCAGGTTGCCAAGCCTTCTGTGTGCCAGTCTCTCATCTGGTTTCAGCCCCTGATTGAGGTTCTGGGTTTTAGCCTGACACTTTTGGACTCTCGCTTGCTGAGTTGTTCCTTCAAGTATCTCTGTAGATATTAGCAAGCTGTTTCTTGATTTAATGTCATCGGCATACTGGCTGATATCCGAACAGAGGACGGACCGGAGATGTCAATGCCTTGGTCCTTTCATTGCTGGGTGCTACTTTCCAGAGGATGTCAAGTGGTGTAATGCCAGCTAAACAGTTTAATTTCTCCAGTGATGTGGGGCAGAGACGTCCTGTGATAATGCGGCATGTCTGTTTTAACACTGGGTGTGTTTATTCAGCAGCAGAGTAGCAAAGCACAAGGGCAGATGTCTTCACTGTGTCTGGTTATGATCCCCAGGTCGTGCCAGTCAGCTTTTGTATGATGTTATTTCTAGCACCCATTTTTTGCTTGATAGTCAAGCAGTGCTTCTTGTAAGTCAGAGCACAGTCCAGAGTAACTTCCAGGTATTTTGGTGTGCCACAATGCTCCAGTGAGATTCCTTCCCAGGTCATCCTCAGAGCTTAAGATGCTGGATGGGTGTCCCTTGGGGTCTCTTCCAACTCTAGGAGTCTGTGATTGTATGCTATGATTATCTGATTCTGAGCAGTGCTCCAACTCTGTTTGCGTGTGTGTGTGTCAGGAGCAACTTGAGAAACTGCAAGTTGCTTCTGGTGTGAGAGAGTTGGCCATCTGCAAGGACGTTGCCCAGGGGACGCCCGGATGTTTGATGTTTTCCCATTCTTATGGGAGGCTTCTCTCATGTCCCCTCATGGGGAGCTGGAGCTGACAAACAGGAGCTCAACCCACTTTCCCCAGAATCGAATCGCTGACCTGTTGGTCAGCAGTCCTGCCGGCACAAGGGTTTAACCCATTGCACCAGCCGGGGGCTCCGTCCAACTCTGTGAAAGAGACTGATGTCCATCTTCAGCACAGAACCAACAGGCATGCTTGACTTTGGCCTTCCTTGTATGCATTCAGCTCTCTTTGAAAACACCAAAGCCCCCTTTAGAATAAATCTGGGACTTCCTTTTCAAGTCCTGAAAAGATTTTAATTCTGAGGTCTGGGAAGTCCCAACCTTTCTCTTTCTATCCTTCTCTTTCTCTTTCTCTTTCATTCCTTCGGGATGACCTTTCTGCCTGCCTCAGCGGCAGCTTCAGTACTTGCTATTGGTGCAGGCATAGGCCCTGGAGCTCTTGGGGATACCTTGGCTCAAAGGCAAAGGAAGAATCATGAACCGCTTCTCTCCCTCTCTCCCCTTCCTGCAGGCCTTGGCGCCACGCTTGATGCTGTGAAGCATGGACCGCTTTGCCAGCTCTGGGACGCAGACGGAGGCCGTGGTGGTGCTCTCTCTGGCCCAGGCGGCCGTCCTGGGCCTGGTCTCAGAGAATGAAGTCTTTGGCGCCACTACAGTCAGCCCTGGAGGCCTCTTCTCGGGCTTCGCGAACAAGATCGACAGCCCTGCAGTGACAGCCGCCACTCCGCCAAAGCAGCCGGAGGGCATCCGGCTGCTGGAGAACGGAAGTCACGGTCTGCCAGCAGTGGCAGGAAGCCCTGAGGAGGAGGAGGGGCTGGAGGCTGATGCGTCCTCCTTTGGGAGGCAGGCACGGAGAAGGAAGCGTCCCCCTGTGAGGCTGGTGCCTAAGGTGAAGCACGAGAAAGGGGAGGCTGCTGAGCAGGAGGAGGAGGAAGAGGCCAACTATGAGGGGCCCGCCCCTGGTGAAGAGCATCAAGAGCAGCTGGATGCTCAGCACACCTGTGAGCAGACAGTCCAGAGCAGCGCCACCAGGATGATCGACCTCAGCGCCTTTGGCAGGAGGCCTCGGCGACACCGGCACCTGCGGAGACACGGGTCGGAAGGGCTGTCTTTAGGAGGAGGGGGCTACGAGGAGAGGCTCCCCAGCCCCATGCAGGCCAGGGCTGAGGAGCCCCCCTTCACCAGGGACTGTAGCTTCCAGGCCAGCTCCCTGTGTGTACCCTCACTGTCCGTTCCCAACTTGAGGCACCATCGTGCAGCACAGCCTCCTCCTCCTCCAGAGCATCCGGGCAAGCGTGAGGCAGGCTTCGTGTGGCAGGAGCCACAGGACTTTGAGGCAGAGAACTACGGCGGGGAGCAGAGCAAGAAGATGCAGCTGGACCGGCTGGACATCAACGTGCAGATCGACGACTCGTACTTAGTGGAGAAGCGTTGGCAGTGCCGCCTCTGTGAGAAGTCCTACACCTCCAAGTACAATCTAGTGACGCATATCCTGGGCCACAACGGCATCAAGCCCCACTCATGCCCACACTGTGGGAAGCTCTTCAAGCAGCCCAGCCACCTGCAGACCCATCTGCTGACCCACCAGGGCACCCGGCCCCACAAGTGCCAGGTCTGCCACAAAGCCTTCACCCAGACCAGCCACCTCAAGCGCCACATGCTGCTCCACTCAGACATCAAGCCCTACAGCTGCCGCTTCTGCGGCCGCGGCTTCGCCTACCCCAGCGAGCTCCGGGCCCATGAGGGGAAGCACCAGAGTGGGCGCTGCCACGTCTGCGTGGAGTGCGGCCTGGACTTCTCCTCCCTGGCCCAGCTCAAGCGCCACTTGGGAACCCACCAGGGCCCCACACTCTTCCCCTGCCCCGAATGCAGCAAGGCCTTCCACTACCGCAGCCAACTCCAGAACCACCTGCTCAAGCACCAGAACGTCCGGCCCTTTGTCTGCACTGAGTGCGGCATGGAGTTCAGCCAGATCCACCACCTCAAGCAGCACGCCCTGACCCACAAGGTAGGCCTGTCACATTTCCAGTGGGGCAAAAGTAAAAAAAAAAAAAAAGCCCAAAAGAATATCCAAAAATTCAAAATGAAGACTCAAAAATCTCTTTGAGAAACTTTTCTCTGCTCCTTTTCACCTATCCTGTGACGCTATTTCCCTTTTGCTCCGTGCACATATATCTGGGCACATAACCCTTTATTGGGGAATCTGAGCTGTTAGGCTCAAAAAATAACACTCAATCTGGGTGATTCCTCCATAAATATAGCAGAGTACCAGAAGCAAACTTCATTTGCTTCTGGTACTCTGTGGTGAGCTAGGAAAAGCTTTCCCTTCATAGGCTGACACAGGATTGCAGAGTCAAAACTTTAGGTTCAAAAGAATTTATTGAAGTAAAAGAAATACATTCTTGATAGAAAAGGTCTTGGAGGTAACTGGCTTACTAAATCACATCTTCTAAGAAAGGCAAAAAGTGTTGACGAAGGCTTTCATGGCCAGAATCAATGGGTTGCTGTGGGTTTTACAGGCTATATGGGCATGTACCAGAAGCATTCTCTCCTGACGTTTCACCTGCATCTATGGCAGGCATCCTCAGAGGTTGTGAGGAAGCAGCCAGGCTTTGAAGCTGCAATGCTACTCAAGATGGCTAATTGCAACATTCACACTTGCCTCCAGCAGACAAGAGTTCTTTCGCGCACCCTGAACATTATTCCACAGATATATAAACCTCGCCTAGTTTCCAACAAATCTCGCAACCTCTGAGGATGTCTGCCATAGATGTGGGCAAAACATCAGGAAAGAATGCTTCTGGAACATGGCCACACAGCCCGGAAAACTCACGGCAACCCAAAGGTTAAAAGGGTAAAAAGTCAAAAAAATCCATGCAGCTACATTTTGCCTAAAAAGAGAGGCAAAATGCGTCCTACACTAGAAGGAAAAAAAGGCAGAAGAGTGGAAAATGGCAAATGAATTCTAGTCTAGCTACTCATTGAGGGCTGGAGACTTGATGGCACAAGAGACTTGTATAGTCCATGGATGAAACCCAACACGGGCGGCAAGGGCCTCTCCCTGAAGTGGGGCTTTCTGGGGCCCTTGTCAACATGCCTAACAGCAGAGCATGTACATGTGCATTCCATGGCTGAAGAGTGGTGTGAGCAAGCCTTCAGAGGCCCTTGGACGGCATCTCCGGGTGGTATAACCCCATGTTGCCCATCCCTGCTTCTTTACAGGCATGTTACCATTTCTGGACACGCTTCTGCCTCTCTTTTTGAGCCAAGGCCAGCCAGTGGCTTCTGAGGGCTTTGCCCCTTGATGCTCCTGGGATGGAAGCGTTCAGGGAAACGAGCATGACTGACCTCCTGTTCCCCGGCTATTGCTTTCAGGGTGTGAAGGAGTTCAAGTGTGAAGTGTGCGGGCGGGAATTCACGCTGCAGGCCAACATGAAGAGGCACATGCTGATCCACACCAGCGTGCGCCCCTACCAGTGCCACATCTGCTTCAAGACCTTTGTGCAGAAGCAGACGCTGAAGACGCACATGATCGTCCACTCGCCGGTCAAGCCCTTCAAGTGCAAGGTACAGGTGCAGAGAGGCCTCCAAGGGAGGAGTTGGGTTGTCCGGAGCCAAGAGCCCCCACACACACCTTCAAGGCTGCCCCTTTCAAAGGGATGTCTGGGTTGTTGCTATTATTACAGTATGTAACAACATTTGAAAATATTTCTGTTGCTGGTTTCAAAGTGTTATTTCCTGTTTCATTGTGTGGTCCTTATTTGAAAGTTGTTCTATTCCAGAAACTTCGTTTTTGTGGCTGCCACAAACTACGTTGAATTGGTTGAGACTCAATGAGATATTCATTGAAAGACTGTGGCAAAATGTGCTGCAGGATGTCCTTTCCACAAAGATAAAGTTTCTGTAATTCGGTTAACTTTGTTTTGTCGAAGGCTTTCATGGCCAGAATCACTGAGTTACTGTGAGTTTTCCGGTCATGTTCCAGAAGCATTCTCTCCTGATGTTTCGCCCATATCTATAGCAGGCATTCTCAGAAATTGTGAGGAAGCAGCCAGGCTTTGAAGCTGCAAGGCTATTCAATGCTACTCAAGATGGCTAATTGCAACATTCACACTTGCCTCCAACAGACAAGAGTTCTTTCTCCCACCCTGGGTGTTATTCCACAGATATATAAACCTCACTTGCCTAGTTCCCAACAGACCTCACAACCGCAGAAGATACCTGCCATAGATGTGGGTGAAACGTCAGGAGAGACTACTTCTGGAACATAGACATACATCCCAGAAGACTCACAGCAACTCATTTAACTTTTCACATGTTTTTCTGATAGAACCAAATAGGAAATGACATGTAATGTAGGAACAAAAATTATGTTATATCGTGTTATTGGTTGTGTTCCCTCTTCATTCGGCCCCTGAAGCCTCCCTTCGGCCTGGTATGCACCAACTTTGGCCTTCTCTCCAGATGTTTTCAACTTCAACTCCTACCATTCCTAACAGCCTCTGACCCTTTCATTTTTCTCTTCAGCCGCTTGAAAGAAAGGGGCCTGAGGCTGTTAGGAATGGTGGGAGTTGAAGTCCAAAACACTTGGAGGGAAGGCTGAAGTTGGCCCATACTTGCTTTAGACAGAGCTCAACAGTGACCTTGCCAAAGCCTGAGCTATTTCACTTAAGCTTTGGCAAGGTCACTTTCGGGCTTTGTCTAAAGTAGGGATGGGCCAACTTTGACCTTCCCTCCAAATGTTTTGGACATCAACAACCACCTTTCCTTGGCCAGACCCAAGCAAGCACCCAGGCCACACATTGAGCGGCCTCTTTCCCTTCCAGGTCTGTGGGAAATCCTTCAACCGCATGTACAACCTGCTGGGCCACATGCACCTCCACGCAGGCAGCAAGCCCTTCAAGTGCCCTTACTGTTCCAGCAAGTTCAACTTGAAGGGGAACCTCAGCCGTCACATGAAGGTCAAGCACGGCGTGATGGACATCAACCTGGACAACCAAGGTAAGCCTTGAGCTGCATCCTCAGGGTGGGGGGGGGGGGGGTGTCTTCACTGTGCAGCAGTGCCCTCTGCAGGCCGCCGGGGGCCTTGCTGGGAAAGGAGCTTTTGGGGTATTTGTGTGTGTTTGTGTCAGGAACGACTTGAGAAACTGCAAGTCACTTCTAGTGTGAGAGAATTGACCGTCTGCAGGGACGTTGCTCAGGGGACTCCTAGATGTTTTGATGTTTTATCATCCTTGTGGGAGGCTTCTCTCATGTCCCCGCATGGGGAGCTGGAGCTGACAAGAGGGAGCTCATCCGCACTCTCCAGATTCGAACCTGAGACCTGTCGGACTTCAGTCCTGCTGGCACAAGAGTTTAACTAGAAGATGTAAATGATCTATGTTTTATTCGTTTTGTTATGATTTTATATTATACTAGCCGTCCCCTGCCACACGTTGCTGTGACCCAGTCTGTGTATATGTGTTTTGTGTGTATATATATGTGGTTTTGCACATATGTTGTAATGTTTTGGGGGTTTTTTTTGCTTTTAAAGTCCCCTTTGCTGTGTTTTTCAGTGTTTTTATGAGTGATGGTCACTCGTTGGCCTGATAGGTGTATTGTGCCCAAATTTGGTGTCAATTCGTCTAGTGGTTTTTGAGTTATGTTAATCCCACAAACTAACATTACATTTTTATTTATATAGATTCTATTATTATTCTAATATTATTTATATTATTATGTATTTATTATTATATTATTCTGTTATTATTATACTTCTATGACCCTCTGTGCATGTATATATGTTTGTTCATTCCACAAACTAATATTACATTTTTATTTATATAGATTCTATTATTATTTTATTATTTATATTATTATATATTTATTATATTATTCTATGTTATTATTATAATATTTCTATGACCCTCTGTGCATGCTCAGGAACAGTAGCCTAGCTTTGCAGTGTTGGATTTCTAATTTTTTTATTATTTTAATGTATTTTTTTTTGTCTTTTTAAGTCTCTTCCACTGTGTTTTCCAGTATTTTTATGAGTGGTGGTCACTGATTGGCCTGAAAGGTGTATTGTGTCCAAATTTGGTGACAATTCGCCCAGTGGTTTCTGAGTTATGTTAATCCCACAAACGAACATTACATTTTTATTTATATAGATGTTAATGTTTTTAAATGTTTTCATGGTGTTGTGGGCATTGAATTGCTGTCTCTGTAAACCGTCCTAAGTCACCTGCGGGCTGAGAAGGACGGTATACAAATATAGTAAATAAAATAAGCGCATTGCGCCGCTGGGGGCTCCTTTTGGGGGTGCAGAAGCTGAAAGTTACCCAGCGTCCCTCTTGTCGCCTAGATCCCTTGCTGGAGCTGGCGGGCGGCGAGCAAGCGGAGATGGACCACCGGCAGCGGGAAATGGAGGACTATGAGGAGGAGAACGCATACAACTACAGGGGGGTGGGGAACGCCACGGACAACTCAGCCTTGGCAGAACAAGCCATGAAGGAGATGGCCTACTACAACATGTTGTAGCGGAAGGAATGTCAAAGGAGAAGAGAGGCAGGCAGGGATCTTCCTTACCCCTCCGACCGGACTCTACTTGGGAAGCAGGGGCTGCCCGAGGCTGCTACACCTCTCTCTGGCATCTACTCTTTACCTCTGGGAGCCTCGGCCCCCTTTTTGTCGTCTCACTGCTGCTCCGTTGGGCTGGTCCCACTTTCCCTGCCATCCCGCCGCCCATTCGTCCGTCCATGAGGGGCTAGAAGTGCCCCTCGCCTCACTCTACCTCCAAACAGACTGGCAAAGGGGATGGTGGTGGAGACAGAGCAGGCGCCCGTCTGCGCATTGCGGAGCCAGCAAGACGTTTAGTGGACTGCCCTTCATTGTTTCCTTCGGTCGATGGGAGAAGCCAGAGCCCAGCGACAACTGCCGACCTTCCTTGCCAAGAGCAACCCTGTTAAATTATTACATGGACTCCCAACAGAGGATTGTACCACTTGTGCATAGATCTACTGTGTTTTATTTTCCTGTTCTGACGGCGTTCAGCAATAAACGAATTATCCTTTGACAGAAGAAGGGCTGGTGGCTTGGTTGGTTGGTGGGTTGCTCCGGGAGCAAAAGTACAGGGAGACACCAAATGGGGAGGGAGAGCCAATACTCCAGAAGACAGGAGCAGAATTCAAAACGATCTTAACAAATTAGAGAGATCAGCCAAAACTAACAAAATGAAGTTCAACAGGAATAAATGCAAGATCCTCCACTTAGGCAGGAAAAATGAAATGCAAAGAGACAGAATGGGGGACGATGCCTGGCTCGATAGCAGGAAGTGTGAAAAAGATCTTGGAGTCCTCATGAACAGGAAGGTGAACATGAGCCAGCAATGTGATAAAAGGTAAAAGTTTCCCCTTGACATTGAGTCTAGTTGTGTCCAACTCTGAGGGTGGTGCTCGTCTCACCTGAAGGTAGGCAGTTCGAATCCACAACATGGGGTGAGCTCCTGCTGTTAGCCCTAGCTCCTGCCAACCTAGCAGTTTAACAATAATGAATTTTTGGCTTGGCAAGGGCTTGCTAGACTTTGAGACCAGCTAATCTGCAATATTATCTAAGGAAAAGATAAAGGTTTCCCCTTGAAATTAAGTCTAGTCATGTCCAACTCTGGATGTGGTGTTCATCTCCATTTCTAAGCTAAAGAGACAATGTGGTCCATAGATGCCTCCAAGGTCATGTGGCCAGCATGACTGCGTGGGGTGCCATTACCTTCCTGTCGAAGTGGTACCTATTGATCTACTCACATTTGCATATTTTTGAACTGCTAGATTGAGGGAAGCTGGGGCTAACAGCAGGAGCTCACCCCACTCCCCGGATTTGAAATGCTGATCTTTTGGTCAGCAAGTTCAACAGCTCAGCAGTTTAACCCATTGTGCCACTGGGGACTCCAACAATGTGATGCACAGGATAAAAAAAACAATGGGATTTTTGCCTGCATAAATAGGAGTCTAGATCCGGGAAAGTCATGCTGTCTCTCTATTCTGCCTTGGTCAGACCACACCTGGAATCACACTGTGTCCAGTTCTGGACAGTGCAATTGAAGGGAGATGTTGACTCTAAGCTGGAATGTGTCCAGAGGGCAACTAAAATGATCAATGGTCTGGCAAACAAGCTCTATGAGGAGCGGCTTAAAGAGCTGGACATGTTTAGCCTGCAGAAGAGAAGGCTGAGTGGAGACATGATGAGGGCCATGGATCAAGATGTGAGGGGAAGTCATAGGGAGGAGGGAGCAAGCTTGTTTTCTGCTGCTCTGGAGACTGGGGGCCCTTCTACACAGCCCTATACCCCAGAATATCAAGGCAGAAAATTCCACATTATCTAATAACCCAGTTCAAAGCAGATATTCTGGCATATAGGGCTGTGTGGAAGGGCCCAACAATACAGAACAATGGCTTCAAACTACAGGAAAGGAGATTGCCCCTGAACATGAGGAAGACTGTAAGAGCTGTTTCAACAGTGGAACTCTCTGCTCCAGAGTGTGGTGGAGGCTCCTCCTTTGGAGGCATTTAAGCAGAGGCTGGATGGCCATCTGTTGGGGTGCTTTGAATGCAATTTTCCTGCTTCTTGGCAAAATGGGTTTGGACTAGATGACCCACGAGGTCTATGACTGAGGAAGGAGAGGGCATTTCTGAGGCAGCTGGGCTCTCCTTCCCTAGGAATGAGCCACTCCTGCTTGGAAGGAAGGGAAGCGAAGTGAAGCGCTGGTGGATGTATGGAAGCTATCTTTTAATCGTCACGTTTGGCACCGGTGAGGCCCAAACCACAGTACACGAATTACAGCACAAAACCCACCATGGCCGGTGGCTGGGACTGGGGCTTCCCCCTCCCAGCCGCAGCAGCTTCAAGTGGGCCATGTCCATGGGCTTTTCCTTTAAAAAACAGCCATTAGATAGAAAAAACAGCTCCCAAGCCCTTGGTTTCCCTGGCTGAGGGTGCAAAGAGCCAGGGGCTTGTTCACATTTAAAAAGAGGCAACGGCGGGCCTCCCACCCCTTTCCCACGACAGCCTGCCTTCCAGAGGGATCCTTGTTCTTACTGCTTGCCCAGAGCTTTGTCCAGGTTGTTCTTGATGGCGTCCAGGAAGTCGGTCGTGTTGACAAAGTGCTCGTTCAGTTTCACACTGGAAAGGAGCAAAAGGGAGGGAAATGGTGGGTTAGAGAAGCAGAGGGAGAGGCACTCAAATCTCCGAGCCCCAGCAGAGCCACCCCTCCTAAGCCCACGAGAAAGGGGGGTTTCCTTCATGGCTCGCCCCAAGGAAGAGCGCTTACTTGCTGAGTCCGTGGATGCAACCGGCCAGGTCCTTTGTCATTGCGCCGCTCTCCACTGTCTCAACGCAGACCTTCTCCAGAGTCTGAGCAAACCTGGGATGAGAGGAAGGGAGAAGTAGCTGGAGGAAGGGAGACCCATCTGCAGTGGAACCCCCCAACTCAGCCCCCGAGCAATGCAGCTGCAGTATGTATTCTGCACGGACAGGTTTTGGTGACACTTGCTGCCCAATAATAATAATAATAATAATAAAATAATAATAATAATAATAATAATAATAATAATAATAATAATAATAATAATACACCTGGAATATTATGTCCAATTCTAGGCACCACAATTCAAGAGAGATATTGACAAGCTGGAGTGTCCCTCCCCACAAATCCTGACCTATGGCAGGAATGGGTCCCTCTCCCTGCTCCCCCAATCCCTCTCCTTAGTCTGCAGTGATTCTGGAAGCAGCGCTGGGTGGGTCCTGCTTTGGCCTTACTTGATGAGGTCTGGGTTGCTGTCCAGCTTGCCTCGGTGCTCCAGCCCTCGCGTCCAGGCAAAAATGCTAGCGATGGGGTTGGTGCTGGTCGGATTGCCCTGCAGGGGAGGGCAAAGGAAACAAGTGAGTGGCAGCCAAAGTGGGAGGAGAAGGAGGCAATATGTATATGGACCCATGCCAAATACCCACCTTCTGGTGCTCCCGGTAGTGGCGGGTGACTGTGCCGTGTGCAGCCTCGGCTTCGATGGTCTTGCCATCTGGGCAGACGAGGACGGAGGTCATGAGACCCAGTGAGCCAAACCCTGGAAACAAAGGCAAGATGCTCTTGAAGACCCTCACTGCCAGTGGAAAAGCACCGTTCGTCTCCAGGACTGATTGGCCGACAAACAGACGGAGGAACACCTGGGTCTTGGCTTGGAGTGGGATACAACCACGCTTAAAAGTCCCTCAAACATGTGCACTATGTAAAGATGGCAGGATGATACCCATCTCCATCTCACTTAGCACTAGAGGTACTGCAGCCTGCAAGCGAGGAGGAGCCTCTTCAGACTTCACAATGTGGGGCTGTCCACCACCCAGACAGGGAGAGGTAGGCATAGAAAGGGTCCTCGCTTTGGCTACTGCAGCCTCACTTGTTTTTTATTATTTTTTTATGAATTTAAGTGTTTATTTATAAAGTCATTTTACACACAAAACAGCATAAAAATGAGACTGTAGAAACAAAACAAAAGATAACACATTTAACAAATTAAACCCACTGAAAACCTGGCAAATATATATCTTGTTGGGTTGCTGTGAGTTTTCCAGGCTGTATGGCCATGTTCCAGAAGCACTCTTTTCTGACTTTATGCCCACATCTACGGCAGGCATCCTCAGAGGTTGTGAGGTCTGTTGGAAACTAGGCAAGTGAGGGTGGTCCAGCATTTCTGTGTTCTCAAATAATATGTTGTGTCCAGGTTGGTTCATCAGGGGCTATGCTATGGCTAACTTCTCAGGTTGAATTAGACCACTCTGACAACCACCATGTCAGGCTGCACAGAGACGCCACTGAAATCCAAAAGCATGTGGACAATTTCAAAAGAAAGGAGAAAACCTCAAAAATGAACAAAATCTGGCTACTAGTACTAAAAAAACAACTATAGAATCGGGACAATAAATAAAGAGCAACACCCAAAAAGCAGCAAAATATCAGACAAGAATCAATCAGGGCCAGCTGACACCTTCCAACAAAGGATTTCCCTAGGCAGCATTGAAAGCTGCAAGGTCATTCAATGCTAATCAAGGTGGCCAGTTGCAACAGTCTCACTTGCCTCCAACAGACAAGAGTTCTTTCTCCCACCCTGGACATTCCACTGATATATAATCCTCACTTGCCTAGTTTCCAACTGACCTCACAACCTCTGAGGATGACTGCCATAAATGTGGGAAAATGTCAGGGGAGAATGCTTCTGGAATATGGCAATACAGCCCGGAAAAGTCACAGCAACCCAGTCATCCTGGCCACGAAAGCCTTCAACAACACATATATATTGTTTGCACTACCTACATAAGAAAAAAAAATCACTAGAAGGTTTAATTATCGTGAGCATTAAAGATATTGAAAGCAAAGATGGTTACATTGCAAAACCCAAGGCATAGTTATGTTGTTATGGATGTGGATTTGAATCCCTGCATCGTTTCCATTTAAGAAGGGCAAAAATCTACCTTGAGAAGAGAGAGAATGACAAATTTGAGAGTAAAAGAGACGCATGTTCAAAATGTTAAGTTTTCATGACCTGCAGCCCCACTTCTAATTCCCCCTTTTCTAGGCAGTACTGTTTTCAGGACCCCCATTGCCAACCCCGCTTGCAAGACCACTCCCTGAAACGGTACCTTGGGCCAGGATGTCGGACTGGACGTCCCCGTCGTAGTTCTTGCAGGCCCAGACAAAGCCCCCCGTCGACTTCAGCACCTGGGCCACCATGTCGTCAATGAGGCGGTGCTCGTACCAGATCTTGAGCTTGTCAAAATTAGTCTTGTAATGCCTGGCAGGAGAGGGCAGAGCAGAGGGTGACTGAGAGCCAGAGGCGAAATCACGAGATTCAGGCCACAAAAAGCAAAGAGATCGGGGATGCTTCACTTGTTGTGATAACATGCAAAAAAGACATTGGGATTATTCTTGGGGACAAATTGAACATAAGACAGCAGCGCAAAGATGAAGGCTGGGGTGGTGTGCTCTTCCATGTTGTATGGCCAATGTGTTCTAGCAGCATTTTCTCCTGATATTTCGCCTC